ATTTTCCCTAGTGAACAAGCACTACCCAGTGGCAGCATTTGCAGACTTTTCTTTTTTCTGAGGCTGCTTTTACCCCATCTACACACTTATTCAGGGCAATAAAATGAAATAACCACTTCAGCGATGGCTGCCCAGCCTGCACCCCTGCAACCCTTAGGTTTCTGAGAAAGTTCGTACAAAGAGGAAAAAAATGCCTTCACATTCCAACGATGCAGCCATCCTAAGACTCCCTTGTGGACATTTTAACTATGAAACACTCCCACTGGTTTCTTACAGAAAGTAAGTCAGCCTGGCCGCATATCTGAGAGTGAAAGGGGCACAACGATGGTTCATTGGCCTGCAGGAAGCATAACTGTGCCTGCTGTGTGTGCCCCACCATATGCCCAAGCTACCACCCCAGCACTACAGAGTCATACTGTTAGTGAGTTGCTGATAAGTCCTAGTTTGAGAGTTTGTGTGTCAGCCATAACAGCAGCAAAATATTAAATTACTGGCTCACGTAACAGCAGTGTGCCGAAGAAGGAACTCCTCCAAGTCAGAAAACATGCCAGTCTTAGCCAGGGGTACTGAACATTGCAAATCAATCAAATCGTGAAGTGAGAAAGCCATCCAGCAGACATTGATTTTAAATAGCTGCCATATGAAGAAGTATCTCCTCCTCTCTGCAGTTAAAGTCCCCTAAGTGTTTTCCCACTTTGCAGGGATTACATCCGCACGTATCATGCCGCTGCATCACCAGTTCGGTTGGCTGCACCCTGTCAGTTTCCAAAGTTGGATTCCCTCAGCAGATCTTCAAGATTTGACTCTTTTGCATCTTTTAATGAGATGAATGCTCCTATTCCAGGATCTGCAGTAGCAGAACCACACCCTTCACCTCTGTAAAAGCAGGTAAGAGTCCAACAGATGGATTTTAAGCTTTCTCCTTTGTGCTGAATGCCTACTTGCCTTATTAACAAGGCGTTCCGCTTTTAACCTGGGGATTTGTTAACCGAAAGCAAGCATGAAGAACAAAATGGAAATAAGCCAATTTTTCTCTGCCTTGTCTATGGGAGAATTTGGGACGTTTTAACTTGCTAAACTACAGCAAGGTCATCTCTAGGACTCCAAGTTTGTTTCTAAGGAGACTTGCATCCAACTTTTCCCTTACTGATTTAAGCTATACTAAAAACAAGTCCTGTTCAAGAAAGCATCCCCACAACTTTTTGCATCAGTGCAACACTTTATCCTAATTCAAATGGCAGAACTGCACACAGATCAAATCCACGGTTATTGGACAGTTACTCCCAGGGTCTACCCAGCCCACTGACAAAGGATAAAAATCATTATTGCAAAGGGACTGGTTGCGGACTTTCGCAGTACCAGTGGCCTGAGGGAAAAGGTTTGTTATGTAAGTTATATTTATATGCCTCTCTCCCTCTGATGCTACAAGGGACTCGTGCATTGTCTGCTCCCCATTATCATCCAGATACCTCTCAAAACACTGTCTGTACTATCTGTAGCTCTCATGTTACAGAGGGCTGGGCAGCTGCCCATGCTCTGCTTTCAAATGAAAAAAACCTGTGCATATAACTGCAACTGAACCAGTTACAGCTTGGCTACAGTTATATCCAGTGACTTTAGTAGACAGAGTCTTTATTTTAAAAGTGATCCAGAGCATTGCTTCCCTGCAATAAATAGTAACGAGACTTATCTTTAAATTTTTGGTTACTGCATCTTCTCCCAGAAGCTGCATAACCAAGCACATACAAAGATGTGGAGATAAGTTTAGCATGGATTACGTATTTATAGGATTACCTTGTACTGCTGTCACTGGTTTGGTTTTATAACAAGTATATTTTTAAAACTGGGTTATGATGACCTCTCTGTGTGGGTGGGTGGGCTGACGGGCAAAGGGCAGGGGGAATCCTAAGCGTAAAGTAATGCCTGAGCCTAACCTACTTTCCAGTTAAGCTTTAATATCTTGTTAAAAAGACAGCAGTGTTTCTGAGGAAGTTTCAAAGTGCTGCAAAGACGTGCTCACTGCAGAAGAACCAGAACGCAGCTCAGGCAAATAGCAGTGCCTCGTCACGGGAGGAGGAGGAGGGCAAGAACAGTGACCGACTCTGGGAGGGGACATGCAGTTGCATTAACAAGGCAGGAAGCATCTGAAGTGCAAGCTGCCAACCCACCTCACTTTAGTCATTGCTACAGACTCATACGTTCAAGGAACTAGAAGTCACTCCAGGCAGAAAAAAAAGCTTCAGCTGAACTACTTGTAATACACACTCACTGCTGCGTCTTCTAAACTACATGAAAGTCAAATGTATGAAGTCAGCCACATAACAGTCTATGCACATGCCTGTCCCCGTTCCAAACCTTTCGTTGTCAGTAAACTGCTTCCCTACGCTTTACCCTTCATTCTTGATCACATCTGTACTAGTAAAGTGCAACTACAGCATCTTCTGCTTGATGATCCAGAATTGTAACTATTTAAAAAGATGTGAAAATTTACTTTAAAAAGTTGCTCCCTTGAATGATTTCTGACCATTCAAGCTTGATCTCAGGTGACTGTGGAACAAGCAGTAACTTTAAAGCGCAGTTAAAAAAGCACAAAGATTTCCATACTCGCCTCAAAATTCTAACACAAACACACATCAGCTCTTCAGGGCACAGACTATCATTTATTACTATACCTAGCCCAAACTGGGTCAACCTGGCTGCAGTCTCCGGATGCTGCATTACATAATGACTAATGCCTGCTTTAGACCGTTCGATCTTGGAGCTGCTGTTCTTTAAGATAGGGAATGAAACACCCTGATGATATCCAACGGAAAGCTCATATTCTTCAAGTCATTCAGGGCTTCTGCCTTTTACACTTGCTAGAACTAACAAATATGTTCAGCCAAGCCAGTGGCCTAAGTTATTAGCTCATGATTTTGGCTGACTGCAGGAAAGCTGGTAGTCAAGCTGAGATGGAAGTCGAAAAAACACATAGCGGTGGAAAAGGCAAAGATCATGCACGACTTCCAGAAGACACTCTTATACAGTGATTTAAAGCGAGAACAGCAGACCCATCCTACCCTCTTGACCATCACTTACGGCAGGGTCTTTAGTGCAGCAAGAGAACGGCACACCACAGCGCTCTCGACTTGCGTTGGAATCGGTGCAGTTGAAGTAAATATTAAGGTTCCAGTCATCAGCTCCAAAAGCCCCACAGCACTGCCACTAGAACGAAGAAAGGAGAACATATTGACTTTCAGTATAAACGAATCTCAGCATTAATAACATGCATCACTGCTGCCAGTTTCCATCTAGCTTTCCAAAAAGAACTTCAGATTCCCTCTGGTTTCACTGGAGCTATACTTAAGAAAAACAAAAACGAAGTATTCCAAACCTGTAAGTGGTTCTTCAATTACTACCTAATTAGAGTTAGGTTCACACCCTGCAATGCTGCTCTGTGGAGCGAAACCCACAGAGCGAGCTGATAAGCTTTAACAGCACTGCACACAGTTGCACAGGCCTATAAGCTCAGGCTCTCTAGCGACAGCATAGCCAAGAGTACGATATTCTGCCCTGTCTCTAATGGTTCCTGCGTTCTCAGAGCTAAATAGCTCAGAGCGTTGCGCTGGTATAGATGTTACATTTGCCAGCTTGGGGGCATCTTTGCCTCTCCATGAATTATACAGTTGGAATTAGACAGTGTTTCCTGTACATCGACATGTTACACAAATAACATTCCTTTACTGTAGGCAGGGAGGATCCTTCAAAAATTGAATGAGAAGGTAAATACCTCAAGTAACTGAGTCTCCGGTAAAACACACTGGATATAAAAAAGCGGACTGGATGTCAATGGAGCGCTGATGGTTTATACCACTTGAGGCTCCAGCCCAACAAACCCATCTACGCCAAAAAGTAAACAAACAAAACCACCACCACCACCACACAAAACATGTTTAAAAAGTGTTGGACCTGCGATCCTCTCTCCGCAGGTGTAGCGCTGTTTCTTCTGCGGTACCTGAAACATGCTGTCTTCAAGCATTATCCCCACTAGCTAAAAAAGCAGCTTGCTCTCCAGAGTTGCGCTGTCTCTGACTTGTCTGCCAAGACTGCTAATCCAGTTAGGAGAGCAAGTTTTATTACGTGGTGCCAGTCTACTACAAAATTGTGGATTGTGGCCTTTTGGTTACATACCACTACTTTTAGACTGTGGTGACCCGGCATTCTCCAAGCTGGAACCGATTCAAAACCAGGGCAGAGATCTGCATCCTGTTATTTACTCGCTTTCGCTATCATTTTTTCCCCCAGGCATACAGAGGCAGACCAAGCTTCAAATAAAATTAATATATTTGCAGAACATACAAAAATTAATAGACACGTTTTCAACCAGCAGCACCTAGCCAGCTAGCTACACAGCGCCAAATTCATAGAAAAGTTCACAGACCCAGGCCAAAAGAGAGTACTGAAACAAGAAAGTACTGGCAAAATAACGTGTGCGTGAAAGTTTGTTTGGGACTCCTTTACGTACTGCTAAGTTAAACCTTTTCACAAGCATGCCCATCTCCGGCTGCACCTTTTCTCCCCTAAAGGGCAGACACAGGGTCATTCAGCGATTTCTTATGAGAACTTGTGGCCCAGTTCCACAGTTCGGCTGACCGCATTAAGCGTCCTTAAAGATACCACTGTGCATCTCTGCCACTCTGCAGCATGGTATAGCACCTCTAACATTGCTAAAGAGACGCTAACACCCAACTCAGAACCGAATATCTTTCCGCCAAGCTTAGAAAAGGGTTTTCCACAGATCCGATGGCTCCTACAATGAAATATTTTGAAAGCGTCCCCTTAGAAGCCCTAAAATATCTTTAAGCATGCATGTGGAATACGCTCCAACAACCTCAACACAAGACTGATGATAACAAATAGTAGATTTGACAATATCTCTAAATGTTTTTGAGAATAAGTAGCCCCTACTCTCTACCCTAATTATTTCTCCCAATTATACATCAAAAAGTAAACTACCTCTTACAGGTGCTGTGTGTTTGTAGAAGGTCTGTGAAAAGAAAAAAAGGTTATATATATTCTACAGCATCATATTCCAGAATATTTCTGTTATGCCTTGAAGAAGCCAGACAGATGGGAAGTAAAAATAGAGCGCGCATTTCTTTAAATTAAACAAAAAAAATACACACACACACAAACATAGTCCAACTTACATATTCCTGTGTAAAGTCTATGAGGTTTTGCAAATCAATGTCATCTCGGTAAGCTCTGATGTTGTTGTTTATAAAGAAATACAGTTGGTCCTTGATCCAGTCTTTGAAAACAAATGCTAAAACACCAGCAGTGAGCTCCAAGAAGAAAATAATTCCAAGGAACACAGAAAACTAAAGAGGAAAAAGAAAACGTTAGAATTGTTTTGCTTTAAGGGCAAAAGTTAATTTTTCCAGGCTCATAATTATGTCTGGTGTTAGGGTTTTGTCAGTTCCACTGCAAGCTCAATCTATTCCCACACACAGGAATTTTTAAATTAAAAAAATATGCCATTTTAAACTAGACCTATAGTGCCAAATTCTTAATTTTAATCTGTCTAACCAATAATAAAAGGCCAGCAAATTGAAATTCGGCACCTACAGTAGGACACTTCACCAAGAGGCCCAAGAGAGTTCAGTGTAAACTTCACTGGAGATGGCTACTTGCCATGTGGAGGGCCCTCTGAAAATCCTCATCTTTGAAAATTTCTCTGTATCGAAACTAAAGACACAGAACAACTTACAGTGCCAATGAAACGCTTTAAGTGACTTTTTTGTTAGCCTTCCTCACTGGTAAAGTTTGGCCTAAGCATGTAAAGCAAAAATTGGTAACAGCAGAAATTAATTAGTGACCAAGTCAGAGTGGAATGCCTGTGGAATGACTCACATCCACATTAAAACCAAATGAGGTTTTTATGATTAATGCAAATGCAATGGATGCCAAAGGCATTACTAATGATCTGCCACTTTCTCTAAGCATCTCCTGTGAGGCTACACAGTGTTTTAAAACACACAGGGGTCCTGGTATACTGGAGCTCCAACCCTTTTGCAACAGCGCCTTTGAGTTTCATTTAATATGCTCTCTGTGTTTGTTCAGATGCATTTTTAATTTTTCCTGCAGCTGCTGTATAGGAAGCTATTTCTGGTACAGCAGATGGGTTCATTTTAGGCAAGCTGAGAGAAGCAAGAAAGAGAAGAAAGAGCAAGCTACAATAGCTTTTCTTCTTTTTCCTTTATTTTCTTTTTAAGCAAGGCAAGAGCAAGCCAGAACCACCCCAAGCTGCTTTATAAACGCCTCATGAGCGGTAACTGTCAATTGCCTCTTCCCCCTATACAACACTCGCCTGTAGAAGCCAAATATGTCATCTGAAGGCAGTTGTTTCACTGGAAGCCTTTGCGTGTATACGCCAACGGTTAACGGCTATGAAGACACAGATTAACGCTACCCAGGCTGTGCCCATCTCTGGAAGTGAGCGCGTGGGTGGGAGGAACCACCTCGAATTTATTATAAGTCTCCAATTTATGTAAAACGGAACATGACATTGTCACCCTCAGAAGGGGTTCCACAAGATTAAGCCAGGCTATGTAGCTAAAGGCGTTTGGGATACTGGGCTATGTTTGTATATCAGCAGCTCCTTCTCTGACTAATAATTCAGCCCAGAGCTAAAAGGAGACAACTCCTATCTATTTTCTATCCCTATCCCAGGCACAGTCTCCTCCCTTTCACCCGTCAGCACTGCCATTAAGCAATGAAGCCTTGTTGAACTAGCTAGAGAGTACAGAGCTGAGGACACCAGCAAGCAACCCCCTTGATAACGCAGTCCTATCTTCTCTGTACCATGAGGGGCCCTTGCACGCTAGAAATCACGTGGGTCACATTCAATGGTGTATTTATATTCCTTCACATTTCACAGGCAGCTCATTATGGACTCAAAGTTCAATACGCAGATTCTTAGCAGAAGCTTCTCTCCTTCAGGGTCAGGAGAGCACAATATTAAGCTATATCCGTATGAAAAGTGGTAGTTCTACATGACTCTCACCATATTATTTTTCAGCCTTAAAAACAGAAAAAGTGCAGCTCTTCACTGTCTTTGCTGCTCAAAGCATTAATAGTTAAAGAAAGTGATTGACAGAAGAGTACTCTCCCATCAGATAACACCTCTCTCTCCCCAAAAGAGATTGAGATCTTTACATAGATAAGCAGGAACACAGAACACGATTTATGCTAGGTAAGTGATGAATCCCACAGTTGCGAAGGCTACTTACAAACTTGAGCAGAAAGGTGTTTTCTCGCAAGGCTCCAATGCATCCTGCAAATCCCAGAATGAACATAACTCCTCCTACCACTAGGAAGAGCCAAACTGGATCAAAGCCTCCCAGGTCAGTGATGGAGGAGATATTGGACAGCACTCCCTGGGAAAGAAACAATGCCAAGGGATAACAGATGCCTCCAGCTTTCGGTTCTGCAATTTCCATTTGCATTTTTCTTTTTAAAAAGGTAGACGTCTACAGCAATAAACATTCACCAGTAGAGCAAGAAAATACAATTAATAAAATCGTGGCATCCATAAAGAGATAAAAAGGGTCATTATGTGCAATATTTGCTGAGCCAACACCTGGAACGAACAACAAAACGTGCTTGTAGAGTCCTTTGCAAGAAAGCCACAGGGTGTTGTGCTGTATCTACACTTACAAGAATTACTCTGCCAGAAAGTCAAGAGTACACATCTGAACAAAATTTAACTCTATCTTATCACTTACACAGGGACACATCTTAGGCATCATATACATTGTTTACACATTCGTCACACAGTTACAAATGTTATGGCAGAAAAAAGTCAATAGCAAGAACAGCATCTTTAATTTACCATTTAAGCTCAGTATTTACATCTACACAGAGAAATTAGAAGCACGTTCCTAGGTTAAGAGCAGCACTTTACAGCAACAAATTTTATTGTCAGTTTCGACAAATCACACACCTGGCTGATTCAAACTTCAGTCACCTGCAGCGCCAAAAACTCACTATATAAATAGAGGATAGCTACTGCTTCAATAGTTAAAAGGAAACATTTGAAACTAGTATCACGTCTCCAAGCAGGACAGAAGGCAGGTTAAAGACTTATCTTGGGAGATGGCTCGCAATACCTTAGGTTAGACCTTTCCCATAGGTTACACCCTTCCTATGCTGTGCTTCAGGTACGACAGCCAGCAGAGTCTGTTGGTAATGCCTTTAGCCCTATGCAGCAGAGCTTTGGTTGCGATGCCAGTAAATCCTGAGGAGCTATTTTATTTTTGAACACATTTTAACTAGAGTTTGGCTGATGTTGAGCAGATGGGTCGTAGCAAAGAGCAAATACAAAGCCTTCCTTATTCCAGTGAGTTTGCACAACAGTTACAATTTCCCAAAGCCTATCGCCAGCAAGAAAGCTGAAGTTTCACTGTTTCTTGATTCACCCTCCACCCCACCCCAGTGCCATTGGTCAATGCAAAGCACTGCTGTAGCAGACATTTTTCCACGGGTTCCCCCAAAGGAGGCTGAACCCAGACTGAGTGCTTCAGACTACTGCATTGCCTCCTCTTCAGTGAAGCTGTGTCTCCTAAACAAATATAGGCCTTCACCTCTATTGCTCCTTACTTGCAGGTTTATTCTCATGTTCTTCAGCCTTTTCTTCTTCTTCCTGTTCATACCCCCTTTGTGTCTTTGAAAAGTTCCCCAAACAGCACTAACTTTGAAGACAGTTATCACAGCTTCGTTTCCAAAAGTTGTTACGTTCATGTTTTTAACAGCTGACTCTGTTCACAACTGCAGCTTTAAGATCTGAGATTTTTTTTTTATATAGTCAATTTAGACCATCGATAGCACGTAAATACTCACGTAGCCAATGTCTTCATTTATGGCACTCCCATATGGCACTGCCATTATTTCTATAACTTACCACAATCAACCCTGAGAAAACAGTAAATACAAATATTTGAGGACGATAGGCTGCATAAAATATGTACGAGTTTCTCCAACGCACACCGCAAGAAGCCTTGAAAAAGGCCAGCACGCTAAGGCACGGGCTAGGAGGACTGCAACTCAATCCTAAAGTACAAACAATAAACCAATAGCATGAACATCTGTCTCTAGTCAGATTTCCTCTTCCTCCTACTACAGGAGGCTATTGCCCGACAGACAGGGACGGGAGGAAAAAAAAGTTCGCATTCATGCTTTTCCTCCTACAGTACATATAGTACCAGTCTTATTGTCATTCATTAACAAGACAAAAATAGACGAAAGGCATGATATAACAAAACACAGCTAAGAGTCAGTGCTGCTGTCAAAGCAGGCTGGCTGGCATGCACCCATTTCTAAGAAACTAGTGATGGGGTGGTACAAGCCAAGCTGGAATGAAGATTTATCAGTCATTAACACTTAAATCAACTAGCGTGGAGCGTTTCCACTACTTTTGCTTCCCTGCATATGCCATAGACAATAAAGTGAAGACATAACTTTCTGGCTAAGGATGAAAAGCTTCAAAATAAACAAGTAAAATATGACACAGAAATCAGTGAAAAAGTCATAGGCTTGGATATACACAAGTCGGGAAACACGAGCTCTGCCTTAAGACAAAACGGCTGCTATAACGACATCTAGCCAAGTTTTGAAGTCCTTTCTGTGTTTTCCTTCAAGGCTTACAGATGCTGTAAGATCACAGGAAACTTTGCCTTAAAGCAAGAACTCCTGTTTCTTTTAACATTAGCTCATCTTAGAATTAATGCATTGTAGTGTATCAAAACAGTCACTGGAGAAAGGATGTTGCCTTTGTATTATGATTATTTTACTAAACAAAAATATTAAAGAAAATCCAGAAGTATGAAGAGCCATTTAAGTCTCTCTTCATAAGCTACTTTGTGTTGCTTAAAAAAAAAAAAAAAAAACCACACACACATTTTTTGCAGATGGTCCAAGTCAAACTCAACTCACTTTTGCACGTAGCTCTTGGAGATGCCAGTCTTAAGAGAAGAGTTAGTGAGAAGTACAGTAACTTTGCACTCTGTCACACTCCCATTAAAGTCAACGACAATGCATTTTAGTGAACCATTGTATTTACGCTCTGACCTTTAAGAAGAACAAGCCCCTTCCCAACTCGCTTGATTTTCTAGTGCTGCCAGGCTCTCACCACCCTGGCATGCCACACGCTGACCAGTCATTTGGCAAGAGTCGCTCACCTAATCTCTATATAGTAATATATAATATATCCTGACGGCACAAAGCACATACTGTATAATTGTGGCTTGTGCGTTCCCATGTGCCCTCTGCGCATGAATCCCGACTTATCAGTATTCTGGACAGAGACATCTCAGGATATACAGTCAGAGAGGCTTTAGCAATAAAACAATAGCTAGCAGCAGGACTGACCAACACCAATAATGCTCCGCAGTAACAGCTATAGATGCACAGAGCTATCCTGTTAGAAGACTGCTGCTTACTACTGAAATACGGTCCAGTTACCTTCCAGCCTTGCCTTTTCCCGGATACTTACAAATAAGCTATCTGAAACGAAACAGCAGTGTAATATTTGAAAGCAAGGGCAATTAATTACTGAGGAATATTCCTTCATTTTACACTACTAGAAAGGACTGAATATATAGTCTTATAGGCACATTCTTTTCCTACTCAGCATGGGTTTCTAAAATACCCACTACTGCAGTATTTCGGCATTTTTTCAGTTGTAATCGCTTATTTCTGGGAAGAGTTTGGCAGAGATGTGCAACGGCCTCGTAACAACCCATTCTGCCCTCATCCCATCTTTAGCCAAAAGTGGAAGAGAGCGTTTCCAGAGGTGCCAGAGCACAGGATTAGGAATCTCCCACTCTAACTTTGCCTCTCCCAGTGAGAGGCTCTGAATGCCTCGACCTATCCGCCACGCACATAAGATTTTGTGCCCATTTGCCGACTATCTCTCACAGAAACACAAAACCTAAGCAAACATTTGTAAACCCTTTAAAGTCACGCTTTCTACAAATGCAAAGTTATGTTTCTACCCTTTCCTGCTGCTACAGGCATATCTCTAATCTTTAGTCAGCAGTAAACACTTTGTTTCTAGAGGGCTACATACTCTAATACTTTTCTTCTCATGATGGTATTAGTCCAGGGCTCTGCCCCAATCTCAGGACACGTTCCCTGGCCAATCTCCAGCTCATCTGTTTGCGCTGTTCCCTGTCCTCCATTGCCTCCAGTAGGTTAGAGCACCCAGGTTATTTAAACTTCTCCTCCACCCCAAGTCAAAGTTTGTCTGAGGCAACAAAGGAACAAAAGGCATCATCCATAACTCAACTAAAATCAATAACGGTGAAAAGCCCCTCTGAAACACGTTTAATTAGATCACAAGGATACAATGGGGCATGCATACAAAACGAAAGGCTGGCCCCATATTCCATCCCCACCCCAAATTCAGGAGAGGAAGTCGAGTGAAACAGCAGGACCCGCTCCTTTCTCCAACAAACAGGGAGGGAAGAGGCATTGGTGGTGCCTCCCGTCACATTAAGAAGCACCAGAGAACCGAACCAGGCCCACTAGAGCTCCCACAGAACTGTAATCTCCTCATTACAGTACGAGAGCAGAGGCAGGGGAAAGAAAGAAGAAAAAAGGGGGGGAGGGGAGCCAAAACAGAAGCCTGAATCCCAGTGATGGATGCTGTCACGTCATTTTTTCCAGTGGTCAGAACCCTCCACGCTACAAAGCTGTACTTCACACACAGTTCAAGAGAGAACAAGGCAAGTGAAAAATGCTGGTCTTCAAAACCATTACTTGAGAAGGCTCCTGTCTCCTGACATTATAGCTGCACAATTGCTTGCCTCGAGCCTATCAATAAAGAATAAAGGAGCAACAGCTTCTCAGAAAAGCAAGAAAGGTGCTCCTCTCTCCATCCTGCCCTAAGACCAGCAGAACAATCTGTAGCATCTTCCAAAGGCAACTCTCTAAACTCCAGCTCCCGTCTTTGGTAGAGCTACATAAGCATTTCAGCTCAGATACAGGGAGTCCTTTTAGAGGGAATCTCCCAGTCATCCCCACCAGCTAGGCTTTAGTTCATGGATAACTAAACTTCAGTTCACGGAAACTAAAAATGGTGCTGAAGTCACCATGTCAACACCATTTCCCCTCCTACTGGTTCACACTACTTGCCTTTAGCAGGCTTTGCCTTTGCACATTGGGACCAGAAAGTTACTTCAATTTCTCCAGAATGCATGGATGCCAACGTGGGCATCCTGGCTGCAGCAGCACCTCAGTGTTGCTGTACTTATGAGGCAGGAGCTCAACCACTTTGTGCAAGGAGGCCAAACAAAAGGCAGTCACAAGTTTGTTAGTGCATTAGAGCGATTTCTGGCATAGGCAGACTATAGTTGCAGGCAGTGCAGAGAACCAGCTGCCACATTCAGGTCTCAGAAATGCCTCTTTAAGTCTATAAGACCGTTGCTGCCCTGGAATAACTGACTTCATAGGCACAACAACATACCACAAAGCAAAAGAGCAGGGCTTCAAGTGAAAACACTACACATGCAGCAGCAATTTTGAAAAGCCAACCATGAAAAACCCTCTCTGCTGCAGGATCCCGTGATTTGGGTCAGAGGGAGGCTCTTGAGATGGTCAGGAAAAGATTCAACAACACTAGACCTTCCTAAACACATTTCTTCTTTGTGGACAGAGAACTAGCCTTTCCAGGCTCATCTGCAGGGCTACGAATCAGCAGCTAACAGGAATATATGGGAGAGATGGGAAATAAAAGAATTTCCAACTGCCTTGCAAAAATGTCTCTCTACTTTCATAGTCACAAAATTCCTGAAGTTTCCCCATGCTGCGCATCTGAATGAGCACAGGGGGGACAGAACAGTAGTCATTCAAACATGCCAAATTAATTCCATTCCAGAATTTTGTCTCTGCAAAACACAAACTAGGTGGGGGATGTTTACAAAACTCGCTTCCTTGATTTCTGTTGGTGTTGCATTTCCCACAGCAAACAGCAATAGCAGCGGCACTTGCTTTTCCAAGTACCTCATGAAGGAGGAGAATTAGTCCAGTTTCCTTGTCATGGGAAAGAATGGTTCAATAGATGAACAATTGGCATAGAAAACAGACAAGTTATAAGCACATTTTTGTATTTTTCAGGATTAATGATCACTAGGTGCTGGAACACTAGTAACAAGACTTAAAAGCCTGTTTAGACAATGCATCTTTATGCACTGAAACCTAAATTTAGTGTAACTGGCAGTATTTATTGCACTCGCTCTTTCCCAGCCCTGTAACATCCACCTGCAGAGTGCGGGGCATAAGCTAGAGACATGCTTTGAGCTCCCTTCAGCTTGGGGGGGACCCCCAGGATAGGCACAGCATTCCCTTGCCAGCAATTATCTTTTTGAAAGAACAACGCGATATAAATGCATGTGCAACCGTCACAGAGCGGCTAGGGCATTGCTCCCTCTTGATGTTTGTCACCAACGGAGACAGTAGAAGTAGTATAAATTCTTTCCTGAAAAAAAAAAAAAAACCTGATAGTTTTAACCTCAGGGCAAGGGCAGACAGACCTCATAGATGAACTAAGTCTACTCAAAAAATTTTGCCCAGATCTGCAGATTTTTTTCCCATTTATCTTTATCTTTACCACCTCCTACTTAAAAAAGACCCTACAATCAACCCCAAGTTCTTTCCTTCTAAAAGGACCCTCTCCCTGGACAGTCTCTTACTGTCTCCGAAGACATAAGAGCAATTTAGCACTTGCTGTCCCTACACTTGCATGTAAATCTGCTGCAGTTAGAGAGAGAAACAGCAAGCTTGTAAGCTCCAATCACCCACTGGAGTCATAACACGCACACTCCCCATGCGTGAGCCTTAAGATCTCATTAGCTAATATACGTCACCAAGGAAGTAGGCATTTGGGGTAAATTTAGTTTATTTTTAAAAAGTCATTAAAGAATTTGCTTGAAGTGGTTAAGAAAGCCAGTAAAATATAATGACCATAAAGCTCTCCCCCTCCCCACTTAAAGGGAGCATTAGCCACTCAGGCTTAGTCCAGACTCTTTCCATGTTACCAATGTTCATTGTTAGCACTCGGAACAATCGGCTGCTTGTTGACGAAGTTTTCTATGCTACAAGCTCAAGTTGAGTGTGCCTGAAGACACAGGAGGATTGTGAGCTATACAGTACACCCATGTATACAGAGTTTTGTTCATTCTCTAATTTTGCCCACCCCAGCTCTGTTTCAGGTTCATGGCCGAGAATGCTAATTTCCCAGGTTTTGTTCAAGTCTGGCTGACTGGCTGTCAGGCCAATTCCATTGACTATCGGACAAATGAGCTCTTTTGCCCCTTCCCTCCCACCCGAGCCTATAAAGAAGGTCACAAGACTGTATAGCAAGCTTTTCTCTCTCTAAAACAACGTTTAACAGATGATGGTCCAAACTAATCAAAAAAGTAAACTCAAAAACCTACCCCAAACAGTTCTCCCCCAGCAGCAAACGGGACCCCTGCAAAAATGTGGATGACTTCAGTATATCTTGCATTTTTTAATTTGGTCTGGTGCACTGTCTTTCGATCTTAAAAAGACTCTGTGCAGCACCAAAAGTATATACAAGTTGATAGCTGGGGGTATAACACAACACAGCTGGATAAAGAGCCAGATGATTAAGGAGGGAAGTAAACTTAAATCCTCCCCACCCCCAAATAAGTTTACAGTAGAGAACTCTTTCTGATGACCCATTCTGGCACAAAACTTACAAACGCACATTTGTACACTATACAGTAGTACTACGAGTTCAACTTTGATAAAGACTTTGTTCACTGGGACAGCAGCAGCCTTAAGGTATCCCGTTACAACGGACCACAATGCCCAAGACACACGCAGGCTTAACCAAGGAGAACTCTGGCTAAAGAAGTGCTTTTCAGTTAAGTTACAGCTCAAGCCTTGGGCTCCCCCCCCCGCCCCCCACGACCCTCGTGGCCGACCTCCCAGCCCAGTGAGCCTGGGCTAGGAGCCATCTGCCCCCTCTCCCTGACATCTGGCCGGGGAGCATCTGGGGCTCGCTCTCGCCGACTGCGGCTTCTTGCCCTTATCTGTCTCTACCCAGCCACGGGAGCAGAGTAAAACAAAGGTCTCAGATTAGCTTGTCACAAGTCCATATTTTCTGCTACAAAGAAGAAATTAAGCCTCTCTGCACTCCTCAGCTTAAGCAGTTCAGCTGTATCTACACGACAGCGTGGCTGATTCACCCACAGAATAAAACAGTCCACACTGAGCGCCACAGGACACAACAGTCTAAGAGGTTAGGGAGTGATGCTTATTTTCAAGGACCTGCCCTTTAAAACAATAAACAATGTGACATTTTCTCCCACTTGCAGCATCTGATCAAAAATGGTTTAAGATGACAAGGTAACAAATCTACAGATCTCAAGCGAAAACACAAGCTTTGGCTTCTGGCTACTTACAATTCTGAACCCGAATGCATTTCTCCTAGGAAAGACTGGACCCCCTTTCACATAGGAAAAAAATATTAAAACCTAACAAACTATCATTCTGCCAAAACACCCTTTGACTATAAGGGCTGGTACATTTTAAACTTCACAAACTAGACTACAGCTGTCTTCCCTTTATCAATTCATTCCCTCTAAAGCATTACTTGTGATACCATCAAAACAACACAAATTTGTTAAAACTCCTTCTGCGGAGCCACACTGAAACAGAGCAAGTAACTACTTGGGGCTTAGGTAAAAGCTCCGAGTACACTCGGAGAATTAAGTGAAACTTTTTACCTCTTGGTTGATACAAACCCCCACCCACCCACACAAAACCACACCACACAGAGCACCTCCTTCCAGGCCCATTCAAGCCATCCAACACAAGTATCTCATGGTCTGTGCATATATATGCAAACATATGGGTGTGTGGATATATACACAATCAATTAATATCCTATTACTAGCACCGAGAATTACTATTTGTAATTATCCATATCCAACATGCGCAGAACAATGAGAATGTTCTAAGCTAATAGCTTACTTCTGAAACAGAAAAATTTGTCCTGAATTTTTAAGTGGCAAAACTCAAATGTTTCCCATGTGTTACTCTGATCTGCTGCAAGCACCAGTTACTATGCCTGACGTGAACATAACATCATTTTGGAACTTGCATAGTGTTTTCCATTAAAAGAGAAAGAAACTTTCATCAGGTTTATTGTTTTCAATTTTGTAAAATAAAAAAAGGAAACCCTGGCTTTCATTTTAGCGGTGGCCTTTTAGTAAGTCAAGCTTTTCATCCAGCATCCCAACACATAATGACTTGTTTTGTATATTACGGCTTGATAGTTTATCTTCTTCCCAACTTCTGCAGCAGGCAAACTAAAAATTAGGCTCTGGTTCACAAGGGTTTTTTCCCCCTCTCCCTCCTTTTCTTGCCATTTCCAAGTTGATTTCACAGTCTCATAACAGAAAACTTTCCAAAGGATAATTTTATTAGCAGAAGAAAAACAAGTTATTTTTTCAGTCGTAGGTCTGGTGGTTGGGATTGTGTGTCTTTTTTTTTTGTAAAAAAAAAAAAAAAAAAAAAAAGAGACAGCAATTAGTGTGCTATGTTCAGACAACCCAGCCAGGGCAGCTTATTTTCAGGAAGTGGCCTCTGGGACATGGAGGCTCCCTCTCGATTCCTGGATTCCTGGGACGCGTGCAGTAGAGTCGTATTGCCAGTACTGCCTTCGGGCAAGCCATCTAGTGCCTGTGCTGCAGTTTGAGCATGCATGGACTGAAACGGCTGTTTTATGCGCAAGTGTAAGCTATAATTTCTTGCCAAACCACTCTTGGGCAAGATGCCAAGGATCTTCCTTGAGGTGAGCCAAGCCAAGGCTTTACTCAACAGTAAAGCTCAACTTTGTTTCTGTAAAAACTGTGTGGAGAGTTTAGTGCTATACTCACTTACCTTTTCATTCCATGCCCACAATCCAATCCCAAGAAATGCTATGCCAAGGAACTGAAATAAGAAAGAAAAAAATATGAGTACAATCTATGAATTTATGGATGCAATTTTTTTTTTTTGGCATATACATTGCCTCAGCTTCTCTGTTGCATAATCAATTTTAGCAGAAGTTCAGGGGCTTACTGAGAGTTTGACAATAGGTATGTAGTTGTTTCTTTCACAATTCAACCATTAGAAGCAGAGGACTTTTTAAAACTTGTACAGTTTAAACAGGGATGTTCCACATACAAAGAGCATTAATTTTGCCATTGTTCTGGCAATTGTTCTGTGCAGGTGGTGGATTAATATAAGGGCAACCCATTATTTTGGCACTGAATTGCCCACCACCTGCACAGAGTAACTGTCCCTGCACCTCCCTCCTAGGTCACTCACTGAGGAAAACTAATTAAAAGGAAGTACTAAATACCCATTTACTACCAGTTTGGGCAATTTTGTCCACATGAACAGAGAAAGCTGTTTAAACATCATGTAACCCAGGAGTTCTGCAGAACATCCTGGTTTAGAAGAATCAATAAGAAATTTAAAAATCACTAAAGTCAATGTTTCATAACTTTGTTATTGAATGTTTCCATATTTCATAAAGGAAGTCACAGTCCGAGGGCTTTCTTTCTCCAAGGTGACTTTCAAAGAAGCAAACTCAAAAGACTTCTTCCCACCGTGATGGAAAAGGGAACAGTACCTAGAATTTTCTTACATCCCTATATTCTCTACTTCCCCCCCTCCCAAAAAAAACCCACAACACTTTGGTGCGTTATTCCCCTCAAAATACTGCCGGATTCACACACAAAGCTCATGCTAGGTCTGTGAAACCAAAAGAGGAGGTTGACTAAGCGCCTCATCTCCCAACACTACAGTACCACTCTCATCAAATGTTTAAAAAGCCCATAGACATTTTTTGCTATCTCTAATTTTTCACTCCTCCAATAGCGTTCACTTTTCTTGAACATTGCGAAAGGTTCCTCTTAAAAAAAAAAAAAAAATCCAAGCTAGGCATTTAAAGACAGCAGACATCTTGGTAATTTCCAGATAACTCCATAAAGCAGAAAGAAGGAAAAAGTGTACATTCAGCATGTATGCTTACCTACAGGATAAAAAAGTATACATATAATGCAAAAGTATACGTATAATGCGTGCCTGAGCGCATCTCTAAAGGTCCATCTGTCCACCTTTCATTCCTGGTTTTTAATTCTTAAGCGGTGGCTAAAAAGCAGGCTATATACACTCTTAATTTGAGGGCATGTAACGGAACATCGCTTGCACATCAAGCTCTGGTTTTCCTCGTGGTTTCTCCACAATGCAGTGCACAGATTTGTTTTGGCACTAGTACTTTAAAAAAAAAAAAAAAAAAGATCTGTGCAGTTAAGTATCCTAATGATTTTTCTTTTGCAAAAGAAGCCAGAAGTTTTTCTACAGCAAGGTGGGAGGAGGGGAGGAAGGAATGACAACTTAAAAGCTTTCCCAGAAATGAATTCAGCAGCTTCCAAGCAGGATTCCTAATGCCTTTTACACACGTAGAGCAGCAATTTTAGCTTTATGCCACAAGAAGTTCTATAAACCATAACTCAATATTAAAAAGGAATATAGAGTTCTTCACTAGGTTAAAAAATTATATCATCAAATACTTTGGACACAAATTTCATAGACTTACAATCATCAGCCAGTGCCCTCTACTGATACCTAAGCTTTGATAAGTTTTTGCTTTTCTAAAACATCTTCAGTTACAGAAGCAATATTGTAAGCCTTATAGACACTTGATGCTAATGAAAAGAAAAAATCAATGGGAATTGTGCATGTAGAAATTCAGGTTAATATACAGAGTTAAAGACACATGCCTGTACTGCCTCTTACAAAAATTCCACGCACAAAGGAAAAGCCAGTATCATAACACATGCTTCCAGAAGGGGCACGGACAGACCTTAAGTCAACTGGTTGTATTAAAAAAAAAAAATGCAAGCATTAAAAAAAAAGGAAATTCCATCCAGTATCACTACACCTCATACACAAAACAAAAATGCAACTTGAAGTCTTCTGTAATGCATACATCCTCTG